CTGAGGGAGAACGCGGAGAGCAGAAAACAGTGGGCGAAGGAAAAAAAGAAATAGAAAAAAAAGAGAAAGAACAGAGGCAGGTGGAGCAGAACAGTCTGTTGATTCGCGATTCAAAAGATCTTCGATCAGGAAACTACGATACCGAATTTTATTGTAATTACTAAAATTTTGCGATGACTGGACCAAAGCGTCCGCAATGACGGGCAATGACGACTCCCGAGCGAAATATATATTTAATCATGTTCCACATCACTGCCTACTTCTGATTAACTTGTAAATAAGGTCGGTCGAAGAACTCGAACGAACGAAACAAGACTCGCGATGCATCGAAAACTTCGAACTTCTGCTACTTATTATTATACGTGTGTAGTCCGATGCGTTCCAAGGAAAGAAACGAGATAATTGAGGAACCGACGACACAGTCACTCCAACGAATCGCTCGTCACTCGTCAAATTTTCTTTTCCATCGTACGATTATTATCATGGAACCACGTTACGTAAATTATGAAACCACACAGCTTCTTCTTTTTTTCCATCTCTAACTTGCGTGTGTTTACATTTGTTTGCGTTGCTTCGTTTTACCAGCGGTAAATACGAAGAGAGAAAAAAAAAAAAAAAAAAAAGAAATTGCACGATGCATCGACAACAAACGTGGCTACAAAAGAAACGAGTATCAAAGTATCGAAATATTAAATTCCAGGGAAACGAGAATCCAATGGGAATGGCAGGGAGATAGATCTGGTACGCGATGAAATGTCGAGAACAGGCTCCGATTTCTCCGATTTTTAGCAGCGCCTATACATTTACAATTAGATGATAAGATTTACGTATAAAAGATGGGGCAAGCACGTCAAAGCATTGCCTCGTATCAACTCGATCACTACCGCATGTCTTTGAAGTTTCTGAAGTAAGTATAGAGAAGACAAAAGGAATGTCGTAATTACGTTATCTAGATATTTTCGAGCCCAACTAAATGTTAGAGCTAGATGTCAGAGAAGAAAGCGTGAAATGTCTCGCGTTGTCCACACCGTTGATCGAGAATACGATAGAGCTCGAGGATACGACTGATAAATCTCACCTTTCCTATTTTCCATAATTAATTTTCCAACGAGCGTTACGAAGTAGCTTCACTGTACGATACATTGAGATGGGATTCAGCTAATCGGACAATAAAATCCCTTTAAATTCCACGGTAGCACGGCGAACGCACAGAAAGCAGAATTGTATAGAATTGATGAGAGAAACTGGTATAACGCAGATTAAGGATGCAGTAATGTTATTTTCGAATTTCATTGTATCGTATATTGGTTCTATCTTATACTTGGTCAACGCGTGTGCATGCTTTCGTAACAGGTATGCGCAATACTAAACACACTAGAGCACGATCGTACATGCATACATCATCACTAACAGTAAATTGTCTTATCTTACTCTTATAGTGTGTCTAGAGTGTCTCTTGCGTCTCTAAGATCCTGTATCTATGATTAGAAAATTTGATCGATGATCAACAACTACTGCACCGTTATCGGTAGTCAACCGAAATTATATTATATGCGTATTTAACGTCTTTTAGAAATATACTTTGAAAACGAGGTGACACGTAGGGGGGAGAAAAAGAACACGCAGGAAGATGTTCCTAACGAAATGATTGAAAAGAAATTCATACGAAATTAAAAATGATATTGGCAATCTCATCGAGGACGAAGAAGAGTAAAGTGTTACTTCAAAAATTTGCATCGTACAAGTACTCTAACTAGTACGCGCGAACGATACCATTGCGAGTAACTCGAATCGAATCGAACAGAAATCTTCCTTTTCCATGCAACATCGCAAAATTATTTCCCTGATATTTTCCCCCAAGGACCAGATATTGTATTTCCCAAGGAACGATCAAAGAAAAATATCGAAGAAACTTTTCCTAAGTTCGTATCGACGTAGAGACAATAAGAGGACAAGTTGCATCGGAATCGTTTTCACATGCATCGCTCTCGTCATTCTCATTCTACAGGTGCAATTCCAAATAACAAAGTTAACGACTATTAAAATACAAAATAGCATCGACTTTCCTACAAGAGACAAGAAATCATTTTCACACTGTCTGTTCACACGTCTGTCTTATTTAAACTACTCGGAAGCATCTTTAACCACGTATTTTTTGATAATTTACGACAATTTCCTGTGAAACAAGGAGAAATTCCTCAAACGCACAGGGGGGGGGGAGGGAGGGACGGGTAACTGAAAGTTGCAAAAAAGACGACATTTCACACGTATACTACAATTTCCAGTAGATATTACATTTCATATACGAAA